CATACAACATCAACGTGGGAATAATTAACGTAAAAAAGTGTTATTATTAATTGGAATGGAGTAGATTTTGAAAAATATGTTTTTATTTTAAGAGAGTGGGGGAATTTGTACTTTAAGACAAGCTTTTTTCCAACTGCTATTGTTTCCGTTAGTATATGAGCTATTTGGTTAGATGGTTCAGTATTCACTGTATTAACCGCTCGTTTAGTTTATCAGTTTTAATAAAATCCTCAAGTATAGTTCTGAATATCAGCAACAAGAAATTACATTTCTATGCAAATTAAAGCAAATATCATATCTATTGAACATGTTATATGGTTATCATGACTCACTAGATCAATAGATAATGTGCTTAAAGTGATGAGTAATCAGTTTAAGCCTCCAACTAGACATCAATAATCGAACAATAACATATCCAGCTAATCATGAAAATGAAACGAAATGTCCTTTAGCTCAACCTCATCCAAAAATCCTTAGTCGAACCTTTAGTATGCTAATGGAGACACTCCTGAGGAGTCATATACTTAAAAGAATCAGCTGTATAGTGCTTCTTAATTTTCAATAGTTGTTTTACGATGGTCAGAACTTGATTTGGTATTTTGCAGCAACATACATTCATGATTGATTGTGTGTTCTGATTTTCACAAATTCTCCCCAGGTTAATGATGTCATTTTATGATGAAAATTATCTTCAAAACAACTAGCATTATGGTTATCTTGAATTGGTAAAAACGCTTGACGTATTCATGTTGCATTATTTTTTGAAAATATATACATTGATTGACATGATACAATTTATTATATGGCTGAATGTTTTGTTTTTATTTGTTTAGTAAGATAAACGGTCAGTAGTATGTACTAGTTGTTTAAAACAATGTAACATCTGACTTACAGGTATATATTAATTCAAATTACCGCATTATACCAATACAACAAGATAAAATCAAGATGATTGAAAGCAAAGTAGTCAATGTAACAGTGAATATTGTGATTGTAAGAAAGTCTAACCATAGGAGAAAATAAATAGAAAAAGGAAGAATGAATTTGTAGCAGAAAAATGTATGGAATACTTTTGAATTTCAAGATTTAAGGAGAGATAAAGAACAAATGTATTTCTAATGTAGCATTCAATCCTAAACAACATTATCCAACGTTTTCAAACACTGATTGAGTTTATCTTACAAATGCCAACAAAGGAGGTTGTACTTACCCTCATGAGTTAGTTTAACAGTCGGTTACTATGACTTAGTTTGGTTACCGCTAGCTTAAAAAGAGGAACGGGTATACTAGTATGCTATTATGATAATGTAACTAAACCAATTTTCCATTAGAAATCGTTGTAAAATAAATGATATGAAAATGCTACTTTAGTGATAGATTGTTTACGTTTATTTAAATCATGAATCGATCATTGTTAGAACATCATTCGAAACCTGGAAGCATTGAACGGCTATTTCGTCCTAGCATGAAACTTTTCAGCAGCGCTCATCTGCGACCGCCGTTCGAAGGAATCGAATCAAGAACCGTCGGTCTCGCGCGCAACGGCCTCATCTCTAAAACACTGGGCCTGTACCTAAAGTTTTCAATGTCTATCTCTAACAAATCCAAGGTATTACTCAACCTTACCCATTGTCTTCAGTAGGCAACTGTCTACACCTGACAAGATTGAACTCCACGGGCTACGGCTATCCAGTGCTTTCGGATTTCTAATGGTGATCTAACAACGATCAACGGATAATTTCAATGAAACTCAACAATCTTCACAACCCTATAATGTTCATGAATAATATTTTAGAATGATACTGATGTAAATAACACTAAAAGATAAATTCTCCCACATTTTGAATTAATCCATGATTAAAATATCAGCTATTAAGAACTAGGCTAATGATTTTGAATATAGTTCACCTGGTATAATATTATTTTAAGTTTGCAGGTGAATTTTTATCTTAGTGTTTAAAATAATCGATCACATAAGATAACAGATTGGAACCTCACCTTACTCTATTCACTTTAGTTTTAACAAACAGATAGTATCAATGTGTTGTCACATACGATAATATCACCCTGAATTTAATAAATGACTGTTTATTTGATAAATCACTTACGTTAAAGAAAAAGAAAGGTTTTTCTGCACACACTGGATACTGATAAGAAATTCTAGGTTTAAAACAAAATTTTACTTTTATAAGTTAATATCTGGCAGTGATATAGGTCAGCCTAAAATATATCTTATATCTTATACTAATTATTAACATCAGATTGCAGGAGAATATTAAAAATTTTCTAAATATTTTGTAATGATTTAGAAAAACATCAACAATCAGCTTTCTTTATTTATATATTTTTTAAAAAACTAGTCAAATATTGAAACATTTTCTCAATGTACAAAACCAAACTTTGAATATGATCAAGATAAGCTCCAAAAAAAAATAGATTTAATATTATTATGAGTAAGTGAGTAATAAAATTCAATGTTCAATAGAGTCACTAGATGTTACTTCATGGTTGAAAACATATTCAATGAAAAATTTCATAAATCCTTTAAAAATCCATCTTATAAAAAAATTGAACTGATGATAATTAAATTTTATCATTAAATATTTGCTTACACTGTAGATATGATGCCTTCCCAAGTTTGGCAATTGATTCATTCATAAATATATTTCATTAACTTTCCTAATTGATGGATAAAATCACCAGTATAAACATCCCAAAACAACAGGAAGCATGTGAATTAACAAGATTTTTCCACATGATCATTAATCTCAACTTAACTTATAACCTGAATTATGATTGGTTGTTGATAATGGATTTGAAATTAATGCCTTTATCCAATGATATGGTATTGGTTATTTTGTTGACCTGACTTGATCATTGCGTATTGTTCATCTTATTGGCTAACAAACTTTCAAAAACATTTCCCATATACCCACGCTAAACTATTGACTGATGAGTGGATGTATAGAAAAAATCGAATTCTTGATCTTTCAAATTACCACTTTTGTGACCTATTTATGAATTGTCTTGTATTTCATTGCATAATTTCTCTCTTCTTTTGTAATTAATAACAAGTTGTAAAGATGATTTTCACCGGGTTAGTTAGTCTCTCCTAATCTACAGATTCCTATGCAAGTTTACAATCAATTTGAATCATTTTATTTTTTATAACTGTTCATCAATCACAAAGGAATAATAAATAAAGATAGAATTCTTAAGTAAAAAAAACAAAACTTTTTTAGTATTATTATCTACTACAACTACTACTTATAAGATAATAAAAAAAAGTACAAATGGATGACCTTCGAGTCATATGGCTTTAAAGGTGAACGAACAGATGATCATAAGATCATGACAATTTTTTTTTCATGGTATGTATAGTTGGCAATAGATCTCGGTAAGTAACAATTCAATCACCAAAATAGTTTGAACACATTGATCCATTTACATTTTTTTCTTTCTGGTCACTTGTCTTTTTGCCAGTCATGCAATCAAATTAGTTCACAGTCACACACACACACACACACTATCTCCTCTTATTGAATTTTTTGTTCGTTTGAATAATTGATAAATTATGCATATTATACAATTCATTTGAGTATATTTTTCATAGATGAATGATTTCCCAATTGGTAAAAAAAAAATTTATTTGATTAAATTTTAGGATAGTTTACACAAACACATTATCAATACCAATATTATAATCAATGTTGTTTTTGATGTCAAACTAAATAAAATTTCAATAGAATTAATCAGTTTTCAGGTGGTTAGCAAATACAACTACAAATCAATGTGAATGGTATTTGGTTTGCTTTTTATACAACTTTTATTGATATTCGAAAGAATGATGAAACAGCAATCAGGAATATATCAAACTGTACATTGTACTGAAATAAAACTGATTACAACTCTAGAGTCTTATAGTGCAGTTATTGAAAATAATTATTGACTGAATTGAATTCGAAATGGTTTGGATCATTCTGCTATTGATATTTAGATTGAAATATGATCAGTTTTTGATGGGCATATGGATTGCATCAATATATAGCCATTATTCACTTAAACATTCATTGTTTTTCAAGAATCTGTAGTATTTATCAAATTATATTAGGGGGATTCGTTGTAAACAGTGACAAATGAAAAGACAGATAATCTTCAACGTTTCAACGGGAAAAAAAATAGTTAATCTGTTGGTTTATTATTGATTTGCACACTGTTTATGAATCAGATCTGACAGATTATGTAGCTTTGATGGTTAAAATTGTACTTATTATGACAGTGACCAAATGTATTACCATTTAGTTTTTTGGTTTTTAATAAATAAAAAGATAAATTCTTGAAATGAAGTCAATTTATGGTGGTTTCATTCATATTCAACCTGTATCGACTAATGTTACTTATTACTCTATGTTTACCTCCAATCAATTATTCCTTCATCTAAGTATAATTTTCTTATCTCTGAGGAATTTCCTGTCAACTCTCAGTATCAAGGAGATTTTGTATAATGAGTAAAAATATATAATTATCTAGATAAATCAGTCAATGCCATGCCATAAATCAAATCACTTGACAACATTAAGAATGGGTTAGGGTGTGTGTGTGTGTACATGGTTGTTTACAACAGAATTCAAACATGACACGAATTGTCATCCAGTGGCTAACTCTATGTATGATAAATAATCTAAGCTTAAATGTATCTACGCCTGATCGAATAACTGAAACATAAGAATTATACTTATAAAAGAGAACAATGCACATTTAATTATCATGGGAATAATCTTCATATTAGTAACTAATAAACATAATCACCTAAGTCTAGAGTTGCAAATAATCAAAACTCAGAAATTTCACCTTGAAAAAATTACCATTTAATTTTGTCAAAAATTACACTTTTAAATAAAATAATAATGAACTCATTCAAATAATAGTGAATAAATAAATAACAATTTCCTGCAGAGATAGTAGGAAAGGTGAAGAAATAAAAAAATTAGATCGCCTACTTGTTGATAATTTTGTGAAACATCTGATTTTTTTGAAACATTTTGATCTGTCGCATCATTCATCTTTGATGGTATTGATAAAGAATATTTTCTTGTTGATGTTGATACACTGACCGTGTCTTTATGTGTTAAAAATGTTAATTTATTCGAATGACTTGTACGTTTTTTTGAATTAATATCTAACTGTAATTCCTGTGCTTTTTTCAATGTCTCCAAAACTATTGGATCATGTGAGATGTAACTTGTTGAAGGACTTTTCAATTTCATTTTGTGATCTTTCTAATTACTTCTTTTTTTGCCTTGTCTTGAATATGATTTTAAAAAAAAAACCAGAACAGTTAGCAATTTGTCGTGTCACACTTTAAACTAATAATGCTTGCAATAGCAAATATTCATTAACTATCTTCAATAAACACAGTATTCGTATCATTATCGTTATTATCACATTACATGAGATATTTATTAACAATTTCTAATCAACTGCTCTTATGCATGATTCATTTACTCATCATTATGATCTACTCTTCTATTGTTGCAGTAGTCTTTCTTTCAGTTTGACTTGGTGCTAAAATTCTTATCCAATAAGAATTAAGCTTGGTCACATGACTAAATCTCAAACAGCACTTTGACCAATCACAGTTCAGCTATTTTGGCTAGTGTACTATAAGTTGTCAAAAATGTAATTAAATATTGGCTATTATCATGATTTGAAAGTGCTTGTTAATTTATTTAGGTTTTTAAAGTAAATATTACTATTTTATCCTATCTGCCATAAACGTATTCCAGATGTAGTATTAAAAATTCAGTGAAGTTTTCATCTAGAAAACTAACAGTTATTATATTTAAATTCCATTTCATGAAACTGTAAATTAGGGGTACTTCCGAACATTAAGCATTTTACAGAAGTACCTGGAAATATGAATAATCTTTCCTCTTGCCTTCATCCTGTTGTTGATTTAGCAAGTATCTTAAAGAGGATCTGTATTAAAAATTAAAGAGGATTCAAAATGAATACTTTTTTATTGTTAATTGATGGGAGACATAAATAACTCTATACCAACAGATATGTATAGTAGCTGAGCAATATCATTTTTACAGCTTGACTAACTGGATTAAAACTCTTTCTTTTTTGATGACAGAAACTTTGTTTGCATTATGATATTGTTTTTCTTAATACCTGAAATTAAATTTTGAAGGTTTAGTCGCATAAATAAAGAACCGTGGACTAATTAGTAAGTTACCCTTATACTCTAACTTTAATCAGTAAAACAATAAAATAACATCTGCTCTATCAATCTTAATTTAATCAGATAGACATTATTTTTAACCCTCATACTATAAGTGTAAGTGAAATTTGAATACACAAAAATGTCAGTTATTATCAAATTCTTCTAAGTACCTGTAGTATGTATTGGTATGCTGGTCAAATGTAATTGTTCTGTTCAACCTATCGTAGCTACTTGTGTCATCTATGAAATTTCTTCATCATACTGAATGAAAAAGACCAAATCTAAGTAAATAAATATCTTCATACCAGATAAACTAGTTAGTAATTATCTGAACTTTATATCACAGTGAATCACACCTTGATGTTCCAAGTGATAGGTATCACTGAATCAATACCATATGTGTATATCGATATCAACATTGAGATGCAAATACATCCAGCTGACAAACCTCGAATAGGAAAAAATGTGCATGCTGTATAAAGTTCTAATTACAATCCAAAAAAAGATATTTGCATTGATGCAAGAAAATTTGATTGATGACTACTATAGACTTTTGTAGTTTTGTTACATGTAAACTTCATTATAAATTTCGTAATTTTAAAAGAAAAAGTGTCTCTTGAGTAGCCAAAACCGAAATCACATGAATGGTTATTCGTATCACAACTAAACAAATCAAGTATATTAGGTTACTACAAAATAATATGACATGTAACTACTATTCAATTAAACTGTAGGATTTAAAATTCCTTCAAAAGACATAAATTTGCATCATTGTTTGGGTAAATGTCCTCTAGTTAAACTGTATTAAAACACGAGCTTAAGGATAAACTCTTTCATCTGAATACTTCCATATTCATTTATCAATTCGTCTGCTTCCGTTAAGCTAGGAATATTGGTCGTTCAAAGCACATTCATTCCATCAATGTTCAAGAATAAAATACCAAGTAAATAAAAAGGGCCAGCAGTACATCCGTAAGTAGCTCAATAAGTGATTACGTTGTAGACATAGACCATTCAATCAAAAAATGTCTGATCATTCAAAGTTTTTGACATGATAAATAAAAATTTATCAAACGTCGAGTACTTAAGTCTATTCTACAATACTTAAGCTTTAATCCTGGATTTAGAGAAGTTAAAACTATGTGCATAAAATAGACTTGCCTAATCAATTCTGTTAGGCTCGTCAATTCATATGCTTGAAACGATTACGAGTTCACATCAGTCGCTAAACGAGAGTGAAGACAAACGACCCAGTGACACAATAGGCTACTGTAATCAAAGCGTCACAAAGCCCCATTTAATAGAAGAAGAAGTCTTGATATGGTTTAAAAAGTATACTGTACAAGCACCCAGAAAATATGAGGTCGACAAGCACACAAATCGAGTTCAGTTATACATGATAGAAACGTCCTTGTGAGGGCCACCAAAATAGCGTACTAAAACAATACATCAACCAATGGTAGTCAAATATTTTGCAGGTGGGAATTGTGATCTCAAGGCCAACTGATCACCCCATGCGCTAAAACATAAAGTCCAAAATTAGGACCTTTATCAAATGAGTTCTGGGGATATAACGTCCCCAACATATTCTCCTACTACGGTAATAACCTTTATTTTTCAAAAACATTGCTCTCTCTTTTACTATACTAACGGCTTATGTTTCATTTTATTCTGTCTTCCGATTATAATAAATTTTCAATAAATCTTGTTTTACCAAGCAACTCTGTTTCATTTTTGTGGTAAACATGTACAATATTGAAGCAATTAACAACTATATTTTCAGTCTCTTGACTGAAATAACACTTTTGAGATTTTTTTTATCATGCTTTTTATTACTATGTTTTATAAATGACAATTATCAACCAGTATATTATATGGTAATCTTGTTGATAAAAGAGTACATTTCCAATTTCGAAGATGTGAGAATAACTCCGCCTGCAGCACTCCTAGAGTTAATGCCGGTCCCTAAACAAGAAAAAGGAGTTTTGGCCATGAGGTTAAAAACCTCATCCCACAGAAAACTAACTAGCTAAAAAACACTAATCAGAAAAAAATAATTCAAACCATTTAAACTCTGCCCTGTGAGTTGGAAAGTCTTCATTTAGAAGAGTTATGATGCCTCATGATGAAAGCCAAGTTTCTTAGGGAATCACAAGACTGATGCCCCTTCTAAAAACCAAAGCATCAACTGATATAGGTTCATACATTGTGGAAAACAGGGAGAACTATTCAAGTTGTTGCGGAAATAAAAGGATACAATCTGGCGGTACTTGGAATGAGTGAAACACATAGGACACAGGTTGGACAAAAAACAGACTGGAAAGAAGGACACATCGTCACGATACTAAAGAACGGCGAGCTCAGCAAGTCTGAGAACTCCACTCAGTACCAGGAAAAGTTTTCAACAACGTGTTCCTAAACTCAGTGAAGGACTCCATAGACACTCAACTTCGAGATCAGTAGGCTGGATATATATATATATATACGGAATTCCTCCCGCTACATCGACGTCATCGGCTATGAGAAAGCATTTGATAGCATTAACAAGACAATACTATGGAGGCTTCTTTGATACTACGGCGTGCCTGAGAAGATAGTCAATGTCATATGGAATTCTTATGATGGAATACATTGCAAGGTCATGCATGGAGGACAGCCCATAGACTAGTTTCAAGTGAAGACTGGTAATGGAAAAGGCTGCTTACTCTCATCCTTTTTTTCTTCTGCTGGATGACTGTATAATGAAGACCTCAAAGTCTGAAGAGAATCACAAAATACAATGGACAGCTGGGATGCAGTTGAATGATCTGTACTTCGCAAATGATCTAGCTCCTCTATCCGACATACAGTAACCAATTCAAGAAAATACGACCAGTTGACCGGACACCATCATCAACAACCGACTGTGGCAGCGAACAAACTAGCTTCGTCCATCTGAGGAAGAAATTAGGAAAAAGCGCTGAAGTTGAATAAGATACACATTATAAAGGCACCGAAATTCATCTCAAAGCGAACCCTAACCTGAAACCCCCAAGGTCAAAGGAAAAGGTGTAGACCAAGGAACATATAGTGCCGAGAATCGGAAGCAGACATCAAAAGAATAAATGGTAATTGAGTAAAACTGTAAAGCAGAACCCTGGACAGAACTGGTTGGAGAATGCTGGTCGGCTGCCTATTCTCCATTAGCGGTTACATAAGTAAGTAAGTAAGTAAGATTTGAGAATGCATTGGCCGTTAAGATCAACCACTCTTTCCTATTTACGCCTTGGTGAGTGCTTTTTTACCACTTGAAAACTAAAAGTCCCCTTTGACAGTAAAAAGGCCAAATCAACTTGGACATCGTTTTTTCAGGAATGATTTGGTGAATACAAAATTTAGCTTACTTAAAGATTATACTAAGTTATGTGAATACCCATGATAGTAACAGAAAGAAACTTTACGAGAGTCTCACAGGATAGAGTACTGTCTCTACGTCCTCTCACATCTTAGAACTTGACGAAAACATATCATCAAGGTCTGCAGTATTATCTGAACTACTACGCAGTGGATATAACAGTTTATTGAATATATGGCGACAAATGCTTAATATTGTTCTGAATCCTTACGCTAAAAGCCTTAGAAACTCAACACAAATTTCTAAATATTAATGGGAGCTATGTAATCAATCATTCCACCAATAAACTTATCAAGTTTACAACTGACTACTCTATTTACGAAGAAACTCTACATTGTCAATCACAAAAATCCACAGTTCATCGATTGCATTCAACCAAGATGAGACAAACTGATACAAAATGACCATGAGTTTAATAACAAAAAGAATTTATGACCACTAATTGATGTATTAATTAAATGAAGAATTTTTGCACAACTATAAAACAATGCAACTGCTTTCATCATAACTAAATGCACTCACAATTAAATTATGTTTTTAATTTATGCTAAATAAAATTAACACATTCCAGACAGAATTTTTCTTTTGTTTACTTTTAAACAGAACGTACTTTTTTCAACTCAACAAGTCAAATAACACAATAGAATGAAGAATATGTAAATAATGATCTAAAACTTGTAAATAATAATATTTTAAAATTTTGAAAATTAATAACAGGTCTTAGGATATGAGAATTCTATGCAAGTGATATTGTGTAAATTTTGAATAATCATTAACTTTAATTGAAATGTATTTTTGTTTTCCTGCCAAACTAACTTCAACACTATCTCAATGAATTAAGGTTTATCAATATACCTTGAATGCTGGATAGG